ACTACCACTGCTACTACTACTGCTACGACTACTACTACTACTACTACTACTACTACTACTATTACTACTACTAGTACTACTACTGCTACTACTTCTTCTTCCAGACGCAACAAAGATGTCCTTGCTCTGCACCGATTTGGGCAGGGTCGGTACCCCGGCACTAAGTGCAGTCCACCTTTTGAGGACTCCGGATGCTACCCTCCTGATCCCCCGACCCGAAGGTCCTACAAGCAGGGGTTCAGCCTTGGAAAAGAAAGAAACTGCAGTAAGAGAAAGTGTCACATCCACACTTAAGTGATGCAAGCTCGCTCCACCTCTGACACATGGCTGCAGGAGGGGTGCCTATTATAACCCAATTACTCGGACACAGGGCAGAGCCTATATATGAAGGCATAGCCATTGTGGTTGTGTGCAGATGCTGCTTCTTGGCTGAGCTTGGTAGCAGCAACACCGTCATCACTGATGAGTGCTCCTATGTTATCATCGTAAAGGATGGCCCTGTAGTGTCCTTCGCTCGGACTTGCGCCGAAATGCAAAATGCAGGCAACTCGACAGTGCCGGCTGTACTGTAGGGCCAGCGGATCTGCATCATCCAGGGAATTCTCAAAGCGGGGCACATAAATGTTGGGCTCAGGAAACACAGGAACCTCAACTTTGCTTATTCCCTCGGGACTATGAATGAAGTGATGTACCTGGAGAAGCAGGGCTAACGGCTCAGTCACAAGTCCATGCAGGCCAGCCTGGGATCAAACAAAAGTTGCAATGAAACTGATGCTGTGTGCTCAGCTGCCAACTCCAGCAATGGTGCTGGCAAGAGCAACGGCCACGTGTGGCCTTCGTCAAGTACCGTGCAGCTGCGGTCAGAGTGCTGTCTGGACTGCCATCTACCGGAAGCTATGAGCATACCTAAGGAAGGCCTAAGGAATGTTAAGTATTCCACTGCATCATGCTGCGTGTGGGGCGAGCGCCACCCCGAGTGCAGCGCGCACCAGGCTATGTTCTGCCAAAGTGTGACAGGACGCTTCTGAGTGCAGAGCCAAGGGATGATTCGCAGCAGGCCCGGCTCAAAAACTTCAGCGAGAGCTGGAGGACCTGACGTCCATAGCCAGCAGGGCGATAAAATGGAGGCATGACTGTAGCAATGATCGCTGCGGTTTTGCAGTCTGAGGGTGCGCACATGCCGTCTGCAATCTTCTGCACCGCCGTTGTCAGTGCCGACCTCCCCATCTTGTCCGGTCGGAGCGAGGTGGCCACGCATCGTGTGGCCGCGCTCTGCGAGAGGCGACCGAAGTCCTCCCACAGACGATTGGCCTCCGGAGTTCTGCCGCCAATCTCCAACATCATCGGCACAACCTCGCTGCTCATCTGCTAGCTGAGCTTGTGGATGGCGTGGAAGCGCATCACCGCCAAAGGCTGGAGGGCCAGGGCCTGCATCCTGGTCAGCAGTTCCAGCACCTGCTCCGGTCGCATTGGCTCTCTGTCGCGCTTCACCTTCATCTCCTTGGCCTGCAAGTCCCACTCCAGATAGGGGACCATGCCGTTGGAGTCCAGGACAAGCATCTCCGCAGCCTGGGCCTTCGAGGTGTCGGTGGCTAGGCAGGCCTCGAAGCGATTCTTGAGGAGCTCCAGCCACTGCTTCAGCAGGAAGGCCCTCATCGATGGTCTCCGGTTGCTTTTCCTTGGCTTCTTTCCAGGCCTGGATGGCCTTGATGAACTCCGGGACAACCGTGAGCATGCCCTCTCTGGCAAAACATCACATAGTTCGACTGGGAGCGGTTGATGGATAGCTGATCCTCGTGTCGCAGCACCAGGTTGGTCAAGGCCGTGCAGAGGTTGAGGATCTTCTTGTCCGTGACGTCCTTCACCGCTCGATGGTCGCCCTCGCCCGAAACCCATTGTTGGCGGCGTTGACCCGGGCTGCGGCGATGATCCCTGTCCCAGCCACCTCCAAAGGCCCTGGTATTCCTTTGGATTCCTGCCGAGGATACTTGCCTCCCTTGCCGTGTCGGACGGCGTGGCGCACAGGAATTCTGCGCTTTCCGGCGCCGCCCGCTTGTCCCTCTGGGAGGTGTCCATGTCCCCATCGTCCGCCTCTGGCGGAGGGATTGTGGATCCCGCTGTCGAGGGAGCCGCCGTGCTGGTGTGGGTCCCCTCCAGGCTCAAAACCAGACCCAGGAATTTTGCGGTCCCAGTCCCCTTGCATCATGCCCTGCTAAAGCTTCGCCTGTCCCTCTGGCGACAGGAGTCCCTGATTCATGGAGGCCTCCGTCTCGGGGCTGATCACCGGAGTCCATCTCGGTCATGAGGGCTGACAAGAGCAAGCAGCAAGCCGGCACGGTAAAGGACCGGGCACGACTGCGTGTGTCTGGGTCTGCTGCAATGTTTGGCCTTGTAGTCAGTGCCACAGAATTGGCAGGGGCTGAGCACCGAGGTCGGCTTTGATTGGAGCCACCGCTGCACCCATGCATGATGCACATAATGTTCTGGGTGCTGTGCTTTAATGTGTCTGGACAGGTAGCCTGCATGCGCTAGCCACTGATTGCAAAAGATGCAGTGCTGCAGAGTGCCACGTTTAATACAGACCGCCACTGCTTGCCAGTCCTGGGCCCTAGCATGAGTCAGCGTCTCGGCATCAATATGATGCAATGCATCCGACAGACGCTCGTCGGCCACAGCAGTGGCGGACACAATCTGAGGCTCAGCAACTTGTTCAGGACCGGGTACTGCTGTATCTGAAACTGTAGAAATGACAGGAGAGGCTGTGGGGACCAATGAGCACTGGTTGAGGGCCCCAGGTTTCAAACCGATTTCAGTGCATGCCCGAAATAAGGTAGCATGTCCGGTCTCTGGCCGAGCACCACAAACAGTCTGACCAGGGCTGTCCTGCTGTGTATCTAGCCCAGGAAAACAGATGCTAGCAGGGGCGCCTACAGGGGTGCCTACAGGGACGGTGGAATGGCTCGGGGCACTAGCGTTATAGGCGTTTGGGCTATTCGTAGTGCACTCAGCCGGGTTTCTGTGTAGGACAGGGCAGCGGTCCCTCTCAAAGTGCTGGCAAAAGGAGGGCCATGCAGTAAAAGCCCAGCCGCAGTGGCGGCACTGCGGCATGCCATCCACGCTGTGTGGCATGTAGTCACGACGCATCTGAGACTGCTTACGCTTGATAGCGGGTTGCTTCAGGTATGTGGTGTGATGCTTTTGCGTCATGTGAATGCGCATGGTACGGGTGTCGCGGAAGTAGCAACCACAAATAGGGCAGTCCCTATCTAATGTAACAGCAACCAACCTGGCAGGGGCTTTGAGAGGCGCGGTGTGCTGTCTCAGATGCAGATCACTGGCAGCCACAGCAAAGCAGGATTCCAGTTGCTGCCACCGTTTGTGAACCAGTGGTGGCTGTAGCGAGGCTTTCGGCCCGAGTCGACAAGCTTGCAGTCTACCTTTAACTTTAAGTGCAAACAGGGTCCTCAACTGCGAGTCTGGCAAGCAACTGGTCACCTGTCTCACGCGTGATGTACGAGCGAGATTTGCTCAGAACTCTGAGTTGCCTGAGCACATGCTGACGCAAAACTGAAGCCCCTCCCGGCGCCAGACCCACACTGTCTAGACTGTGCAGAAGGCAGGTGAAAACGCATGTTCGCCACAACTGCACCCTCTGATTGAGTGTGAGGCCAGCTGAGCGCAATGCTGGCAGGAGCCGGCCAAATGCCGCCCAGGAAAGCTTCATACGCTCCTTCAACGTGAGGGCTTCAGGGGAGCTGTAGCTGAGCTTGGCACCTAAATATGTATGCTACGCCACAATGAACAAAAGCATGCAGGACTGTGTCTGCAAAACTGCATCCGTGTGCAAGGGGACCTGCAAGTGTCTGCCTTTGCCAGGCAGCGTCTTGACATGTGGCCGCAGAGCCGAGCCAGCCAATGGTCCTCGCAACGAAATCAACAGGACATTTTTTGTGGGGCTAACCCTCATCCAAAAATGCTCAAGGGTGCGCAGGATATACCCTATTTTGGCAACTACCTGGTCAAAGTGTTGAGGGGACTCTACGATCCATTGAAACAGGAAGTCATCTGCGTAAACGGTGGTAGCATCACGAGCGATTTCCTGCTGAAGGTGGGTCAAAATCAGACACGTGAAGAGACACCACAATGATTGCGCCAGCTCACAACCCTGACGCACCCCGTTGGTGGTATGAATCGTGGCTGCGCAGCCCCATGAGCAACGCGCATCTGTGCATGGTGGTGCAGTTGCAAAATGGCATACTGAGTAGGGTAGTCGAGTTGCGCAAGTTGCAAAGCGGCAAGCAGGCTGTCCCTCGGCATTAGGTCAAATGCTTGCTGGAGGTCTAATCTCCGCGGCAAGCCGCGGGCTGATGCCCCTGCCTTTTCAGGTGGGGGTTCTGACGCTGCGCGTGAAGGATGGATCGGACTTGGCAGCAGTGGGACATGGCTCTGTCCAGAGCGTCCTGCACGGAACGCCCCGCAAGATAAGAGAATTGCGGTAGCTCCTGAACCAGAGCATGCAGCTGAGGCTGTATGCGTCCATTGATCACTACAGCCAGCGCCTTGGCAACCGGGTGGAGCAGCGAGATCGGACGGAGCGTCTCTGGCCCGGCCACGGGCTTGTTGGGTTTGGGCAACAAGCAGATGTCTGCAATGTTCCAGTCATCAGGCGGCGGAAGATGCATGTGCCTGAGCCAATGATTCACTCTGGGCAATAGCTTCTCTGTGAGCGTATCAGTGGCGAGAGTCCAGAGCACTGCCGGAGCCTCGGCGGGTGGCAACGCCTTGCTGCCAGAGAGGTGTTGCAGGGCGGATCTAAACTCTGCAGCAGCGATCTGCAGGGGCGAGGAGGGGGCAGGCAGCACGTGCTGAGGAGCAGACTGACTGAAGAGAGTGGCGAAGTAGTCACGGATGGTCGAGACCGTGTCGGCGATGCAGAGAGGCATGCCGTTCGGTGCTCTGAGCTGCAGTTTGCGTCGAGGAGTCTTCGGGGCAAAATCGCGCAGAGCCTGGTGAACGCGTTGGAGACCCGGCGCCGTGGCAGCATCGACAGTCAGCATCTGGTCGAACTTGTGCTTCTTCTGCGCACGGCACAGACGCCGGAGTTCACGTTGGTGCGCTTGGAGCGCGGCGCGACACTGCCAAGCTCGGAACATTGCGCGCGCTGAGGTGCGCGCGGCAGGAATCAAGTCACGAATCGTCTGTCGCAAGTGCCAAAGCTTGAGCACGGGTCTGTAGTCTGACCGGGGCGCCTGGATGGGAAGGTGCCGTGGCAGGGAGGTGGTGGCTTGCTGCCACGCCTGAGTGAGTAGGTCATGGGCACTCAAGTGAGGGGCTTGCACGTGCAGCGGAATGCCGAAAAGACTCAGCAAGCTCCTCGTGTGTTCTGCAGAGCTCCTGCACCCTACGTCTATTGATGGGGTTGCGGCAGGCCCGTGTTTCGGGCTTCCTTGGCATGGGAATCGTGCCTACAAGAGGAAGGCGAGCATTCCGGTGTGGCACGAGTGGCAGCAACTTAGGGGCAGTACAACGTGCTAGAGCATCAGCCTCCCGCCTACGCATAATAGCGAAATCAATCTGGCTGCGGCCACTTCTGCCAGCCGGCAGATAAGTGCATGCCCTGGTACCCGAGGGCCCCCAACTGTTGAGAACCACTGGATCGAGACTGCGGAGCATGTCCTGGGCTAAGTAAGGGCGCGTCGGGTGCATGGCTGCCTTGGCGAGCAAGAACGCCACGCCCTACCATTGAGCCCTCCGTGCTGAAGGTTGTGTTCAGATCACCAAGAAAAAGCACTCGGTTTCGGGCTGGCAGAGCACTCAGTAGGGTCGTGAGCTGTGCCCAGAACTCGGCACGTTTGGCCAGCACTGCATCCTTTACAGACGTGACGGCTGCACTTGCTTTGGGAAGAGACCAGGCATATTGATAACCCACAACTAGATCAATGCTGGGGTTGGATTCAATCCGAACATGCATGAGTCTACCTGGTATGACTTCCCGGTACTGAATTGAAGGCTCAGCAAAAGCATGCCTGTCTAGCAAGAGCAGAAGGCCTGCCTCAGCTTTGTTGGACCCACTATGGCAAAGAAACGACCAGTGCGGTACTCAAGCGGTCCGCTCCAATGAGCCTCCTGCACAGCAGCAATCTGAACGTGCAGGCCTTCCGGTGAGCTGAGCCAGGCTTGCAGCTCCATGTTGCGTTCGCTGGGCAAGCTGCCTGCATTCCAAGAGAGGAGTTTGAGTCGACTTGGTAGCTTCTCGCGGCTTCTCAGCCAGCGGGCGCTCGATGCCTGCCTGGCAGCCTAATTCTTGGGCAGTCCACCAGCGACCCCGGTACTTGGCCTGACCATGCAATACTGCTCTATTCTGTGCCCTAAGAAAAGCTCGCTTGCGCACTGGCTTGGGGTGCCTTGCGGAAAACTGTAAAGCGCCGGTAGGGTTCGCCCTGGATGGGATACACCTGAAGCCGTGTTGGGTGGCTTCCGGGGGTTCCTGGCGTGGATTGCCCCCTACCCTCGCGTCTGTAGCCCCCGAGCCGGCACATGCTACACATAGCAAATGCAACATCACAAGGCAGAAGATAATCCTCGCCAGGTGCAGGCTACGGGGGATACCCCGTGGACTTGGGACCAGGGTGGCCTCTACTATTAAGGTGGTAGCTAGGGGTGGTGGAGTTGTGGTGTGGATGTTGACACAGCGGACAGCCTACTATCCTCCTACCAACGAGAAAACTGTACAAAAGTAAGCAACTGCTGCAGAAAGACAATCCCCACTTCAGCAGGCCTGACCTGAAGGTCTTGGTGGTTGAGTTCGAAGTCGTGGTCGTCGGCGGCGTCGGTGCTGCGCAGGAGGCCGTTTGAAGCGCTGCAGGAACCAACGCACCATCTTTAGCGGCCAGAGGACGAGGAGGAGGCTGGCGCTGCTTGCACCTTCTCATCCATCTGCATGCTGTACCTGAAGAACCATTGCTGCACCTCCAGGCGTTGTTTGGCCGACAAAAGCGGCCACAGCAGTCGCATAGCCGGCCGGTAGAAAGTGTTGCTTGCCAGTTCGACAGAGAGGTGCGACACCATCGCCGCATCAGCCGCCCCGGCTTGCTCCAGCAGGGAGGCGAAAACCGCTCTCTGAAAATACTGCATGCCAACCATGCGCTCCGGCATGGGTCCTTCCGGCAGGTGCTCCAGCCAATCCAGGTCGTTGTCTGGCATGTCGTCTTCCAGCATACACCGGAGTGCCGCGGACATGTGCTCCAGATCGTCACGCCTTTCTTGCGACAGGAATTCTGAGACGTTGTACAGCAGGGTGCGTGAGGAGTCCCTGCCATGTTCCTTGCGATACTCCCTGTACTGAGCGGCCGCTTGTCGGGCTGGGAACTTCTCCTTAAGTTCCCGTTCCAGCTGCTTCCAACAGATTCCCTTAAGTAGCTCCTCAATGAAAGACTGCTTCTTGAGCCGGAAGTGGTGGTCCTTGTCCACTGGGATCGCTGCCGGAGGCGGAGGAAGGCCACATCCAAGCATCGGTGCCTGCGCAGCCTCAGCATCTGAAGCCAGGAGGTCCTCGGCGTCGCTGGGTGGCTCCATGTTTGTATCATCGCCAAAAGGAGAGCTGCCAGCCTCAGCATCCGCATCATCTGGGCTGCTGCTGTTCGTACTGGATTCACTCCTCCGAGTTCTCCGACGAGCTGGAAGCTAGAGAGCGGGGCATGCGTCCCGACCCGAAGCTCCCGTAAGCAGACGCACGCCTCACCCCTTTTGTAATCCAGCACAGCCAGCTCAGCGCCGCGCCGAAACATCAAAAACCTACCACCAAGGATGCTCGTAGTCTGGGCCAAGATGCTTACTACTACTACTACTACTACTACTACTACTCTACTTTGCTGCTACTACTACTACTACTACTACTACTACTACTGCTACTACTACTACTACTACTACTACGACTACTACTACGACGACTACTACTACTACTACTACGGCGACTACTACTACTATCTGCTACTACTACTACTACTACTACTGCTGCTGCTACTACTACTACTACTACTGCTGCTACTACTACTACTACTACTACTACTACTATTACTCCTAGTACGCCTGTGACTGTGACTGCGACCGCGACTGCTGCTGCGGCTGCTGCCGCTGCTGCTGCCGCTGCTACTGCTACTGCTACTGCTACAGCTGCTGCCGCTGCTGCTGCTGCTGCTGCTGCTGCTGATGCTGCTCCTACTCCTGCTCCTACTGCTTGCTACTGCCACGACGACTACGACTACCACTGTCACTACTACTGTTACTGCTACGCTACTTCTGCCATTACTTGCCATCGGGGGGGCGCAACGAGGCACAGCGCGGAGGAGGCGGGGGGTGGAGCCGGACGCAGTCAGGCACCAGCATGAAGCTCTTTCACAGGCACCAACTGCACGTTGTTGAGGCATCCAGTAGCCCAGCAGCACTACTGAAGCACCGTACCCAGCGCCGCTGACATCAAGCCAGCGAGGTGGATGTACAACAAAAGAAAAGTTCGTCATCATATTAGCATCGGAGCATGTCATAATCGATATTCGAGGCGGAAGGGATGCCACACGATTTGAAAGTCTGATCTGCACCGGAGCCGTGCGAATTCTCCCCACCCCAGCCCCTTTGATGCACAGACGAATCAATTCCAACGAGAAGATTCCTATCAAATTGGCCAGCTAAACCAAACAGGGAGAGTCGAGGATCTTGATCACGCCCCGCGGGGTCTAGCTGCTGCAGTGGCCTTTGCAATCCGTTGTCGTTGGCAGCTGTCTGAAAGCATCATATACCATTGCCAAAGCTCGACGCTGCCCAACCTACCCGATCCCGCCAAATCCCGGAGTCCTCCGTGTGCAGGGTAATACCTAATCTCAATATCTGCTGCTTTCAGCGAGCGGCTGCCCTTGTCACCTGAGTCGCAACGGAAACCTCCTTGTCTCCATACCAGAACTCAGAACGTTCAGTCCTCAGCCCGCCACCCGAGACGGTATTGAAGACAGCTTTCAGTTCCTCGACTCGGAGACCCTGCAACTTGCTCTTGAGTTCACAAGACGAGCTTTATCTCTGTGCGGCACTTCTGGTTCAAGGCCTGCCTGCGAATCGAAGACATGCAGGAGCTGCCTTCCAACTGTACGAAGAGGTGAACCGTAGAAAGATGCAAATCAAAACTCGTCCCGGAACCAGTTCTCATGCCTGAGCAGGGGAGGGTCAAAGGCTTCGTAGGTGAGCACGTTGCTCAATGCGTCAGCCACAGACTCCTCCGATTTCGGACTCGATATGACTCTATACACCTGCTTCCTTGAAGGCTGTCATGTAAGAGTCCTTCGGAAACTTCTCCAAATGCCGCGCAACCGCTATAGCCTCTCGCATAGAGTAGGGATAAGAGATCGCGGTGCTCTCTGCCAGCTTCCTGGCGCCATCATAGATATGATGACCAGCGAATGTAATGATCGTGGCGTGAATGCTGCTGACGCCTGGCAGCATGTTGGTCCTGAGCTCGGCAAAAGCCAGAGCCAGCTTGTCCAGGATTTGCCGCTTGGGGTACGTGGGAGCTATGTGGTGGAGAAGCGCCGTCTCCGAGGAAATGTCCTCTGCTGCGGTGGTCTCGAGTACAGCGCAAGATGCACAAGGGCAGACTAATTCAAAGGATCAGGAAACAGGCTTTGTCAGAACATGGACACTCAAGCCGAGTCTGCCTAGCGCTCTGCCCAAGTGTCCGGATTGTCCAGCACAACGGCCGCAAAAACGTCACCACATTCACGGAAAAAGTGATTTCCATGAAAAGGGAAGCCAGGACGATTGGCCAAAACCTGGATCGTCGGTCGATTCTTGCGTGAAGAGACTACAGAACCACATGTTGCAGGCAAAGCTTAAACATGTAGACGATGGCAGCAGTGGTTGGTGGGGAGGGGGAGTAAAATACTGTAGTAGGTGTGTTTCTGCCTCTAAGCCTGTTCACAGTACTACTACAATTTGCTTAGGCGCCCGACCCACAGCCGGAAATCTGGATTTATCAAAATGTCGGAAGGGCGATTTCCTTGGATGGCAGCACGTTCCAACACAAGAAGACGGGGGATGTCTCCCGCGGAGTCTCGTTTTCGGCACAGTCGGCGCCCATCTCCCAAGAGCAGTTCTCCATCCTGCCGGCCAAGGGAATCACCGCACCCAGCCTCCGAAGTCACGGGCTGACCTCCACGAGGGCTTTGAGAATTATCACCACTTCGATTGGCGCTTTGTCAGCTTCGTCCAGAACCTCGGCGAAGGGAAATCTTGAAGCTAGTCTCGATAAGCTCATGGCCCTCGTGGCATGGTCATGCGATATAATGTGATGTCGAAGCACACAAACCCTTCCATGCTTCGCAGCCCGTACGAGCGGAGCGTCTTCGTAACGCAAGCGGCCATTCTGCAGCACTGGACGCACTGTCAGAGAACTTACCTCAAATCACGCTGCAAGCATGCTCGCAACAATTGCACATACTTACGGCAGTGTGTGCGAGTCTCAACAAATCCCGAGCCAGGCGCTGTCGTGTCGCGGTGTAGCTGCACATACTCACGCTCCGCCTGAAGCAACTGCAGCGCGCGATCCGCAGCCACGTTCTTGCCAACGCCTGTCTGGGATTGCACAATGACTCCCACAAGAGAGCTGTTCCGAGCACATCACTGCAAAGTCTGCGGCCTTGGTTCCCCAGCAGTAGCACTGCATGCTCGCCAGCCTCTTCACCTCAAGTTGGCCCAAGCGGCGCAAGACGAGCAAAGCACAAAGCAAAGCAGAGCCAAGTCACACATCAGAATTTGCCGAACTGCGCTCCTTGGTCTTGGTCTTGGAGGGCTTCGAGCTGATGCTGGGACACTCTCTGCCAAGCTTCACAGCTGCAGGACTGCTGAAGAAGCTTCGCGGAGCAGGAACCAGTTCAGGCCTTTGGGGCGAGCGCCGTGTGACTTGCAAGCCAATGAGCAGGGCATCCTCATCGAAGTCACTGACGTCTCTCTCGATAGCGTGCTTTGACGTGCCGATAGCATACTCTCGCTCGATTGGCTTTAGCCATCCTTCCATAGCCTCTCGAAGCCGCACTGGCCAGAAGCGGGACATCATTGTGTTGTGCACGATCTTTGGCAGGGACCCTCTGTCAGGACTGATTGCCGCCTGGCGCACGATTCGCAGAAGAACACGGAAAGATAATCTCATCAGATCGCGTTCTCTTTCAGAGAAAGAAGTGTCAGATTGTGTGGCCAATGCTGCTGAGGCCATGCACACAATGTCCTGGCAAAGTTTGGGTGTTGCTGCCGGGACAAGCAGTGGCAGAGCTTCACCAATCTCCGCAGGCATCATCTCCGGCAAGAAGTGTGTAGAGAAGAGGGCAGCAACTTCTGGACTCAACCAACTGCCGGGTTCTGCAAGTGCCACCAACCTGAAACTGCCTGCAAGCTTCTGTTTACGGCCAACCGTGGCCTCGCCCTCGCATGCATTGTCCACCAGGCGTGTTCCATCTGGCAAATCCAGCTCACGCTCAGAGCAAAGCCTGCCAAAAGCGGCAACGAGCGCACCGGCTGGAAGCCGATGGACCCCATCCAGAACCACGACCTCTCCTGTGCGCGCTGCATTGGCAACTGGTTGGTCTGCCCATGCAGATTCTCCTGCCAGCGATTTGGCTCCGTCATGTCCGTCTAACTTCTAACCCCTATGTCCAGCCTGAGACTTCATCTGTCACTCGTCGCTGGAGTAGATCTCTGGCAGTCAGATCTCGGTGAAGATTGAATGTCTGCCTGCCCCGCCAACACACTGTGAGTGCAATCTGCGAGTGTTTTCATGCAGACACGTGTTTTTGCACAGACACACCCTGAGGTTCGTTCGGAATTCATCGCGCGAAGCTGTCTGCACACGTGCTCCCGTCTCCCCATACACGAATGCAGGCACAGCACTGCAACTAAAGTCAAGATGCCAGGTCTCAAGTTGCAATGACCGAATGAGAGCACTCTTACCGGCACCACGATGGGCCACAAGCAGAATATTGTTGCCAGCGGCCATGTCGGCCTGCCAAGACTCTTGCAGCATCCTCTCGGGTTTGCGTGTTGTGTCTTTAGCACTACGCCAAAGCCTGAATTGCACGTGCAGTTGCATCCAACTCTGCCGTGCGATAATGGCCACATGACATCATCTGAGCTCCTGCCGGGTGTAGGCAGCGGCTCAGTTTCGTAAACTGGGACCAGCTTGCATGCCTTCCTTGCCAGATTCGTGAGTATTCGCGTCCATACCCAGCTGCAGCAAGGCCTGCCCATGCACATCCCCGTGTCGGTCGAATTGTCGTAGTCATGCCATGCATGCATTGCCCATAATGAACAAGTTCAAGGCAGGACTCAGTCATGCCGGTCCTGATTGACTTGCGAAGCGGCGAGTGGTGACAGTTCACCATACTCCAGAGGGGGATAGACCCGCTGCCTGGTTCGATGCCGACATCACCCTTAACGGCCTTAACATACCCTGGCTACTCCAAGTG